TGGGGGGGAGATTTCGTGTTTGAAATTGCTCGTGAATATTGTCTGTGTTTGGTTCAATTTACATAATTCATGTTCATATGCAGCTCTAAGTTAGCTCGTTTAAATTAATTAAAAAAAATATATGTAGAGTGTTTGATTTGAATCTGCATCAATTTTGTGCAATAGAATGCACAAAAGCATATGACTGTACTAGTTGCTATGATTTAAAGTTAGATAAATAATATCTATATAATTTCTTTATTTCGAGCTAAAACGAGAGGGTTGTTCGTGCTCACCTCTTTCATAATTCGAGCTTAAAAAAATTATTCATGTTTAGCTCGTTTACCTAACGAATGATTCAAGCACGAGCTATTCGCGAACAACGAACTTTTTTAATAGCCCTACATACCACATGTATTTAAATATCTAACACCCAAAGTTTGCTATTTACACTCATAATATCTTGGCGTCATAAATCCATATATTTCACTTTTTAAAAAGTAGCGGTTGTGATTTTGTTGATGTTAAAGATTTTAGTGGCATGCATGTAAATACGACCGTTACCGTTTAGGCGTTAGATATGTAAATACATATGAATTATGTGGTATGCCTGTAAATTTTCCTTTTTGTAAATTGTTTTTTAGAAAAAAAATATGGACGGTTTGATCTATCACCAAAGTATTTATAGGGTTGATCAGCCAACACTTGATTCTCAAAGAAATTATTTACCGCATGGCTACTGTTTTCAGAGATTTTCAGAAATCAAACCTTCTGAATCAGATAAATACGAAGTTGAAATAGTTGAAACAATGTGAAAATTGATGAGAAATTATTTAGGGGGGGGAGGGTTTACTCATTCCAATCAAGGAGTTATATGGCTGTGTACAATTGGGTGCATATATGGCACATGTCAGCATCTGATTGGCTGTGCCCTAAGTTCTTTTTTTTTTTTTGAAATATTTACACACATGCCACTCATTTCCTACGTATTTAGATATGTAACACCTAAGTTTCAATTCTTACACCTTAGGTATTTTTTATGTGATAAGAAAGATTTTGGTGTAATAGTAAAAAGCAAAATTTAGATGCTAATAAATTATGTAAACACATAGGAATTGGGTGGTATGTATGTAAATGCCTCTTTTTGTTGTTGTTGTTGTTGTAAATGATAAATAAATTGAATTCTTAAATAAGTGAATTGTTATGTAAGTCGATATATATCATTTGGCCATAAACATTAGCTGCTAATCAAATTTTATAATTGTATTTTTGTTTCGGCAATTAGATTTTTTTGGTTTTGTATATATTTTACTTGCAATTAGTTTTTAGCTCATTATTTTTTTATTTATTTTGTTATATGTTAAAGGGTGTTGTAATTTTAACAGGCGAATTCTGGTGACATTCTACGGTTAATAATAATAAATAAAAAGTGAAAAAAAAAAAAAATTTTCCGGACATTTACATACATATTGCCCCCATTATTATATATTTACATATCTAACACCTAATTTATTTTTATATTTATTACCACCCAAAATCTTTCATATCACATAAAAAGAATTTCATCATTTAAAACGGCATAAATTTAAAAATTGAAATTTAGGTGTTATAAATAAATGAGAAGAACTGAGTGGTGTGTATGTAAATCGTTGCTCGGTTTAATGAGCAGATCAAGAAGGGGCAACAATGCATCCACGGGGTTTTCTAAATTTTTTTTTTTTTATAAAAAAAACAGCGAAAGAATATAAACATAAACATAAACATATAAGTTTAGATGCTGAATATGCAATGCATTAGAACAAGGGCAGGAAATGGCAGACTAAGAACGCATGAAACGCCATTTAAATACAAGGGCAGGGAAAGTTCAGATAAAAGCAGAGTAACAGAGTAGAAGTTTTTTTTTTTTTTTTTTTTTTTTCAGAAAGTTCAATCATTTCATTCAGGAAAATAATAAAAACCAAACCCAAGTTCTTCAGATAGAAATGATAGCGCCAAACCTTCATCTTTTTCTTCTTTCTTCTTGTTTTAATCTGCCGTCCAGCTTTGTTCGACAATTTCCCTCACTCTCCTGTTATACTCCCTCTTGTTCTCACTGAACATCCGAGCTGCTTCTGAGTTTGCAGGGGAGTTGGGATTTGGATCGCATAGCAATGACTGCAATTTAAATTAAATTTTAATTTAGTTACAATCACCCCCCCCAAATAAACCCCCCTTTCCTCACTGAATACAATCATTTATAATACATACCACTTAATTCCTATGTATTTACATATCTAACACCTAAACTTCAATTTTTACATATATGCCACCTTACCTATGCATGAAAATGTGTCTAACTTCTTCAAATAGTAGAGTAATTTTTATTTGCTGTGAATGATTTGGGTGGTATAAATGTAATTAGTAAAGTTTAGGTGGAATTGGGTAGTGTGAATGCAGTCCCCTTCAAAAAAAAAACGTCCAGAAAATCATATAGCTTCGGGTATCCACTAAATCTACATAACCAATACAAAAAACGAAAAAAAAAAAATAAATAAAAAAATTACATGCATCCCAAACAATTCATATTTATTTACATATCCAACACCTAAACCTCAATTTTTACATACATCGCACCTAAACTACGGAAAGGTGCATTTCACTCTCTAAAAGATAAAACGTGGCATTTCGCTATTTTAAATGTGATATGACAGATTTAAGTGGTTTAAATGTAAAAATTAAAGTTCAGGTGTTAGATATATAAATACATAGTTATTGGTCTGGGTGTCAATTCCCCTACAAAAATATATGAGCTCGGTGTTGACAGTTAATTGATAACAACTCAAGGTTCTGAAAATCAGTTTCTGTCGATCCACGACAATTTCTAACACTAATGCATGGCAAGTAGGGGTGTAATTCGGCTCGTTTATATTTCGAACTCAAAATGTGTGTTCATGTTCGGCTCGTTTGCTTAGCGAGCCGAACACGAGCTATTCATGAATAAAGAGTCATTTTGAAAACCCTAATCATGTAACCATAAAATGTTAAGAATTGGGACAAAATTTAAAAATTATTGTTTATATTAAAACATTATTTGAATCTAATTTAATAAATTTTATTTTATTTTCTTAATTAATACTTTTAATTGATTATAAGTCTTTGTAGCCTTGCAATCAATTTAATTATTTAAAAATAGTACTCATCAATATATATATATATATATATATACACACACACACACACACGTATGTATGTATGTATAATTGATGAGTAGTATTTCGAGCTAAAACAAACCGAACATGAACGAACAAATCTGCGTTCGGCTAGTTAACTAAGTGAACGAGCTTCTTAACAAGCCGAACATGAACTGTTCGCGAACAAAGAGCCGTTTTGACAGCCCTAATGGCAAATTATACAACATATCTAATAATATCAACATAATTTTGACACAAACATCTCTACCTTTTAATGGTAACCAAATCAATCCAAAGATACCTGGAACATATTTACGCCTTCTCAAGACTGATAAAAAATATGTGAAAAATAAAATTTATTTTATTGTCCATGCATTATTAATTGCCTCAAAAAACTGCAATGCAACATGACAAAACAAATGATTTAAAAGTGTACCTGGATTGAAGTAAGAATTGCGGCAACATCATATATTGGGCTCCATTGATTCTGCAGAATATCCAAACAGATACTGCCATCTGCGTAAACTTTGAACATCAAACAATACAAATAATCAGTGAGATCAACATATGAATGTTTTGGAGGTATGCGAGTAAATCTCCCTACATTATAATCTGCCCTGATAAGTTTACATGACCCTGAAAGAATTTATTGAGTTTAAGCTGAAATTAAGCTATACTGCAATTTGACTAAATTTATGTTAGTTGAAAATGATAGCATCACCATTGGCATAAATTTATTCAATATTCTGATAAAATTTAAATGAATACAGAAACAAAGAATCACTTCTACTTTTTTTTTTTTTTCTTTTTTGACTTTTATCTTTTAGTTTTATTTTATTTTGTTTATTCTTTGATTTAAAATTGAACATCTAAGAATTAGGAATTATTTAGAGTATCTTTAACAACACCTACATTTACTTCTTACATTTATACCACCCAAATCTTTCATATTACAAAAAAAATGCCCCTATTTTACATCTTAAAAAGTTAAAAAACACCTTTTTTACATATAGGTAAGGTGGGAGATACCGAGATATGTAAAATTTGAAATTCAGGTGTTATATGTGTGTGTGAATACATAGGGGAATTAAGTGGTATGTATGCAAATCTTCATACTTTAAAAAACTACTTATACCGTTAAATCTTTTGCTTTTAGTTAAGAAAAGCTATTATGAACGCATTGACTTTCATCAAATCATTGCTATTATCAAATCTAGCACTTTTCTAACTACTGAACGAATACATTTATGCATGCCACGAAACAAATCATTGATAATTTGATAAAAATGAAAAATATGGGTTGGGATTTTACCATGAATTTTGATACTGAAGAGAGAATTTTAAAAATGGATGGCGGGGAGTGCTAGATTTGTAAATAGAAATGTTTTGATGTTGGGATGTTAGGTAAAACGATGCCACTATGGAAGAGAGAGCTTTTGGGCATTTTAATAACAAAGAAAAGTGCAAATTTAGGAAATAATCCGAACGACAACTTACTATTTGGATGGAACATCCGCGAAACAAACCGCACAGTTGGTGGCTTATTGGGATAATCCTCAGTAAATTGAAGCGTCAGCTTGAACGTACCTGATAATCAGCAACTGCTTTATAGGTGCACGGCCATAAATAAAATTTATGGGCAAAGAAATAAAATCAAATTCCACATGCAAGATATTTCTATGATTCAGATGAGAGAAAATAAAAATTAAGCTTAAGAATATATGATTAACCATGGAAAATAACATTAAGAAGAACAAATGAAAACCTCATAGCACTAGCTTCAAAAACATTAAGCATACTACATTAGCCAATAATTGCACTATTGCTCCATTGTATGGATAATGAATCTAAACAACTAATTTTCAATGTATGCACCAAACACAAATGTCATAATTTTACGCTGCTCATCATCATCATCATCATCACTAGCCTTATCAAAGCACTTCAAGGTGTCAGCATTATGAATCCTCATTTTCTCCTAATCCCTGCTTAATGTTATTTGAAGTATTACACCTATAATCAGTAAAATATGTTGAGCAACTTTCACTCCATAAACCTTTAGGGCTACCCCTTCTGTCCTTCCCTAAGAATAATTCTATCAACTTCTCTAATGGGCATCTTCTCACTATTTTTTTGTTCATGTTCAAACTAGCCAAAAGTTTATTTTTAGTCATCATATCTCCAGTATAAGTCACTCCAACATTTTCCTAATATAATAATTCCTTAATTTAACATACATATTTTTACCACATACCCATCTTACCATTTTTATTTTTGCCACTCAACTCAGATATTAACAGCCTTTTTAAAACCCAACATTTAATTACATACAATATCGTAAGCCTTAGGGTCCGTTTGGGGCGGCGGTGTGGTGACAGTGCGACACAGTACCACAATTTTGTTTGTTTGGGTAAACTGCACTTTGACAGTTTTTTCAAAAAGCTGCCATTGAAACCTGAGTTTTCCGCCCCAGTCCTTGCTAGCTGCAGTCTATTATTATTATTATTTTTAATTGTAATAGGCACAGTAGCTTTTTAAGCATCAGATTATTTTCAGCAATTTTACAACTGCTTTTTAATAAGCTGTATATACCCCAAACATACCCTAAATCCAATTTTAAAAAATATAACTTAAAAGTATGATATCCTCTTATCTCAAAGATATCTAGAGGCACTTCTCCATCTTAGATGTCAATCCTTATCTCAATAAAAAAATCTTTATGCATATTCAAAAAAAAGTTTTGCTTAAAAGTTCTAATGTTGTTAATTTTCAAAGTAACATTTTTATATTTCCTTAATATCTTCAACGTTAACTACGATCCTACTAATTTCACTTTTAATGCATCTAACTTCATCAAAATTTTCAAATCTCTTGCATTAGATATTCAATATATCTATTATTCTCCTTCCTTAACGCCAAGCTTGTATAAGCAATCATCTAAGGCAGTTGCAACTATTATAAAAATAGTTCTAGAACAGTTGTGAGAATTTTTTTTTTTTTTTAAGTTTTTGCAAAAGCTATAGAGCTTTTTCATAGGTACAAACTCCAACAGGATTGATTGTTTTAAGTTGCCCTCTATCACAAAAATTTCTATAAAGCAAAAATCAAGATATAGTCATTGCACTTATAATAACTCCATGATCTCAGCAACTATAATATCAAAGCTTCTGTATTACCACACATTACATGTATTATTAAAAATAAAATTTTATACTGTGAAAGTGTAAACTACAGAGCTCACCATTTGCTTAGCTAAAAATGAAGAAAAAAATGACTAAGAAGTGAAGTACATGGGCAGGTATAAGAAAGCCCAGAAGCCATGAAGATAACTAACACTTAACCAAATAAAAAGATTTCACCAAGCAATAACAGATTAGAAGCAAAAAAAGCAGCTGCAAATCATGCAGAAAAGAACAATTTAAACTTAAAAAAAAACAACAAAAGAAAAGGATGCTATAAATCACTAGAAACAACAATAAATCAAACCAAAGTATGTTCTATAAAATCAGAAAATGATAAAAGCAGACTCTTTTTCAAAAACTTCATTCATAGAATCATAAATTAACCACACAAACTGCCTCACCTCCATCCCAAGGGGTGTCATCAGGGCTGCAACAACACAAGAAAAAAAAAAAATCAGATGACTTACTTTATACTCACAAAAACACATCTAAAAAAAAAGACAAACAAATTAGTAGCATAGATACCCAAAAATAACCGCATTCCAGAGCATAATGTTATTATCATGAGGAGCACCACTGATACCAGCAGGTGGGTCTTGCTGCAATCTTTTGAAGTCCCTCATCAACCTCTTCCTTGAAGGAGTCGACATTCTCACAACCTAAATAATCATCATAAAAAACATAATTCAATAAAAAACGAAGAGATGAAATCTGTAAACAAAAAAGTGGTAAGTAGTGAATATGCTAGGGTGTAAACAAAAAAAGCCTGGCTCAAGCCGCCCTTAGCTTGAGCTTGAGTTTAAGCTTGATTAATTAACTGAGTTCAAGCTCAAGCTCGAGTTTAAGTCTATAAGTTCAAGCTGGCTTGTTTATCATAAAAGAAAGAAAATAATATTAATTTAAGCTAATATTACAAATAAAATGACCAATAGAATGAGCAATTATGAAATATTCTGACAAATAATAAGAAAAAACTTTATATAGAATGAAAATAAACATTTTAAAAATAAATTTAATAATTTAAAGATAAAATCTTGAATTTTAATACATTTTGATTACAATTTATATTAGTGTTTTTTTAAACGAGCCGGCTCACGAGCTAAAGAGTCTGAGTAAGTGCTTAGCTTGAGCTTGGCTTGTTTGTTTATCGAGCTCAACCCACGAGCCAGCCAATTATCAGCCGGCTCATGAGTCGGCTTGGCTCAGTTACACTCCTATGTAACTATGCCATATGCCACTGAATAAAACATTATTTCAAGCCGTATATGTAATTTATACAATAGTCAGAAAGGGTAACTAGATAAGAAAGCTTGCATTAGTATATCAATCAAGAATCCACCCAAAACCCCGAATTCTACAAACAAATTCTATAAACTAGGAGTTCAATTAACCTAAGTTTTTACACAATTATCACTACAGTAAGGCTTCAATCAGAAAAAAATCACTTTTAAATGGCTAAAATCATCTTACTGGATGGATTCAAGGAGCACAAAACCTAACTCCACAAAAATATTCAAATCCTAAACAACTCCCAAACTAACAACGCCAACAAAGGCAACAATCAGAGCCCAAAAAAAAAAAAACCTACTCAAAACTTACGCAATCGTTAAAATTAAAAGAAAATTAATGATCACGTCAATCCCACAGCGATTGTTTCGACATTCCGGATGAATCGTGCGCCGAATCCCGAGTAAAGAAAGCAAGACAAGAACAATAGAGCAACAAGAACCATCGGTAATAAACAGAGAGGAAAAGCCCCTTCACCTATAAGCCGAATTCAGCGATAAAGTTGGATCTCCCTAGGGTTTCGCCGGTGGCCGGCGATTCTGCTCTAAAAAAAGGCGGATACCATCGCTTCCTCCTGCAGAGCTCTATGGAAAGGAGAGCCTAAAGATCAGAAGAAGCAATCCGTTGAAGAAATTGGAGCGAGGAAGAAGAAGATCACAGAACAGGCAGCAGCGGAAAATGAACGCGACCACCACCGAAGAAGAAAAATCCAAATATATAGCAACTGGCCGGGCAGGGCTCGGACGCTCGAAAACCCAATGATTAATGTATTTACATATCGAACTCCTAAAACTTTAATTTTTTACATTTATATCCTCCAAAATTTTCACATAATCATCAAAGTACACCCTTTCATCTATCATTAATAAGGGCATGTATGATAAAAATTAAAATTTTGATTTTGAAATGTAAATACAAAGGAATTTAAGTGGTATATATGTAAATCTTTCTTATTATTTAACAACTTGACCATACCATATAAATTTTCAAATAATACAAAATTAAGTGTCATAGTGTTTTATTATAGATTAGAACTCAAGAAATTAAATTAAATACTTCTTAATTTCTATTTGATACTTCCTAGTAATTTTGCTTATGAATAATTACTTTTTTACAATCATACCCATAAAAATATTATGCTTATAAAAAAATATTGTATAGCTTTAAAAAAATAAAACTATATATATATATATATATATATA